CTCTGCGATGATTTCCCTTCTATTCAGATATTTTGAAATGACTTTTGATTCGATAATCGGTGTGTGTTGGGGGGGAGGGGAGGGGGCTGGCAGGCCTGGCCTGTGTTTATAAAATGATCTGGACAAAGCAACAAGACACCAAAGGGCAGAGATGGAAAGTCCACCTTTCCAGTCTTTTCTTCTTCTTTTCTGAAGATTCGGCATAAATATTTTTTAATTTGAAAACAACTCCTGGGATTCACGCAGAGAAATGTAATATATACACGTACCCACCGCCCCAGGTAGCTAACTGAATGGGAAATGGGGATTTCGAAAGGGAATGTTTAGCCTCGATATAAAATCGCTTCCAGGGGGTTTACTTATTTTGCAGTTAACTCTGGATCTAAATTCCACTACAAATAGAGAGAGATCCCAAACAACCAGAAGGGAAATATTGCTGGAAAGTGTCCAGGCCAAATTCGGTGTCTCCCCATCCCCTCTGTCAAGAAAACTAGTTTTCTTTGTAAATAAAGTAGTATTTACAAAGAAATATTTACACTACTTTTTTGCAAGATTTCCTGGAAAACGGAATTAGCCTGGAATGTTTTCTTGCTTTTGCGATGAATCCTGCAAAGCTTGAATGTTTAAGTCTCGAACGGTTTGCATTTTCCCTCAGAACCTCATGCAAGTTTCAGGTTCTTTTCAGGTCAGTTTCTTTGGCTACGTAGATATTTAACAAGCTACAAGTAATTGCTGTTTTGAGTGAACCTAGCTCCATTTATGTTCCCTGTAGCTTGCTTACTTTCTTCCCTCTGCGTCCTGTAGTCCTTAGAAGCTGCATTTCCCCTGTAGATTATTCCCCACACCGCCCTGGAAGTAAAGACAAAACTCTGATGCTCACGCACTTGCACTCAGAGCAAGTTCAGATCATGGGCAGAAAATATTTCTTTTAACATGCCTGCGAACGGCAAAGGGACCGACCGAAGGGGGCCCATTTTATTATAAGATTTTTTTAAATAGAGAGGCAGAATAAAAATTAAAAAAAGGGGGGGTCGGATCTTTTACTGTCTGCCTTAATGAAGTTGGACGATTATTGTTCCCCTGTGCTAAAAAGAGGCTTGTGCTTGGAAGTTTACTGAGATTCGGTTAAAGGGAGAGGTTTCACCGGGAATGGGGGGAAATTCTGCCCAATTTCCAATTCTGGGCGCAGAACTCAGCCCCCTTCCGCTCCCCCCGCCCCCATTTCACTTGAGAAGTGAAACACGCCAGAGCAGTGGCCTCCAGTGTATTTTGTTTAACGCCGTCTAATCTCGTGCTGATTCTACGTATAAAACAGGCGCGTAATAACCCTGGAGAGATGCCCCTGGCCCCCACCAGGCTATGGGAGACAAGCCCACCAAGGACCATCCGGACAAGTTATACAGAGAAGAGCGTGGGTTCAGGAGGATTAAGTGCATTTAATGAGACGGCTTCTACTGGCCACCCAGGGGCTTGGGGCAGCTGTAGATGGGTCAGCCACAAAGTTCATTCATCTCCTTGCACCTTGGCAGCGTCAAGGGGTAGAAATATCCAGGTTCTTCATGAATTAAACCCCATCAGGTGCCTGTGATGGTGTTTTACTGCCCTTAGCACCATACGTTCAGGGCACCTTTTCTGTACGCCTTTTAAAGTTCTCAACCATCCACAGATTTAACCCCCCCCCCCCCCTCAGCCTGGCAGAGGGCAGCTAACCAACCTGACACCTCCTACTGGTTTGATTGACATGGCCCCTGGCCCAGTAACTACTTTACCAGGTCTTCCATATTTGACCGCTGCCAATATTGTCTGTCATCAAATCCATCGATAACTAAAACACCGAACACGCTTATCTCTGTTGCCTCTTCCGTCAACTCCGACGCATCTGCAAACTTCTTGGGAGAGCTGGACTCCGGCTGAGGTGAAAGAGCAACAGAAGCCGGACGAGGATTAAAAACGAGCCAAGCTTAGGACATGGAGACAGTCACATCGCTGTCAAATTACCCGGACTTAGAAACATTCTTGCAGTTCAGCGGGTGGTTTATTGGACCTGGTTTCTAAAGGACGGGCTCGTTTGGGGAAGAATTATTCTTGTTACCGTTGCGTGGGCAGAGTAAAAACCGTCTGTTTGGTGCGTATTTTTAACAAACGGACAACTGTCCGATTCTGGGAAGATTTGTTGCAGATATGTCGGATTGGTCATTGCCTGGCAGTCAGTAGGTGTCTGTGGGGCCCTGAGGTCTCTACTGCTACCACGTCTATAGTTCAGTCTGTGGCCAGTCTCTGTAGAGTCACCAAAACAGTTGCAAAGTCCTCTTAGTTTTTCTTTCCTGTGTCTTAAACATTTCAGAGGCTCCTCTTAGGCGTGTCTTTAGGGCTCCCTGATGGCGGGGTGAACGCTCTGTGATGACCTGAGCCCTTCTCTTGTGCTCGGGAATTATCTGCCAGCCTGTCACAGATTTGTGCTTCCTGCACAAATGTCCCGTTCGTATTTCGCACCAAACCAATTTTCGCCAATGCATTGTTCACGAAAAGGCCCCCTAACAATAGTCACTCCTCAGGTCACGTGATTCATCACCTGAGGTCATATGCTATTGTTTCCATCCCCTAATTGGGAACAAAGAGGAATGACTTTTTTTTCTGCTAGGGAGCCATGCACAGACATTGGCACACCTGGGGGTGAATCTATTATTATAGAGCGGAGTGGCAGCTCACCCCCTGATTAAGGTTAATGCTGCCAATGCTAAAAAGGGCGTTTGAAAGCTGATGGTGAAAACCCCTTCCAGTGCCAATGCTGGCACAACGGTTAACCTGCCCTGGGGTTCACACCTCTCTGCTTTCCGTACAGCCTTCAGAGCAGGGGAGATCCGTGTCTGCAGCGCCTAGCTTTGGCTACGAGATGCTCCCGCCATCTCAGTGCTAAACAAGAGACATTCTGGCAAATACTACCTAGCTCATCGGACTAGTCACAACTAAGGATCAGGAGAACTCGGGCAGAGAGAGCCCGAGTGTGACTTGCAAGAATATTTGCAAAGACTTTTCTTTGTTGTATTCCCCAGGAAGCCAAACAGCGAGGTTCTATTAAAGGGAGACTTGTAACTTTTTCCTTCATGTTATGGGGACAACAACGAACCTGAAACATCAAAGGGGTTATTTGTTTGTTTGTTTTAAAATCTGCTTTAAACATTGTTCGTTGGCCTTTAAAACAATTAAAACCTTTTTTAAAAGCCCCCATTGCTAGCTTGACTAATCTCCAGGGAAGTCAAAGCGCACCGTTTTGGATTAGTTAGTTGGTTGGTTCTTCAGCGCGGGCAGGATCTGAAAATACAACGCAGAGCCCCAGACTTGGATTTTAACTGGCTCCTTTTATCCTTCAAGGGTTTGGGTAATTGAAAGACTTCAGAAGCCAGTTTTCCCAGCAGGCCGGCCGCTTTCGCCTCCGCGAGAGAGAGACACACTCATTTCTTACTTGGTTTTAATGTCCTTTCCAAGTTGGATAACTTTCTTGATCTCCTCAGATTAGAAGCTGCTTGTTGACTCGCATCCAATACCTTTTAACAAGCGCCCGCCACCCAGCCAGCAAAGAGAGCCAGGGTGCGGGGACACGGCTTAGGGACTGACGGAGCTATGGCAGACTTTCTCCGCTCTGCGAAGTTTTAACTCAACTCCCAGTCCGCAGGTTAGAGCCTATCGCTAACAGTTTTAGAGCCAGCCGCTCGCTCCCTCCAATAGAGAAATGATGCAAAGGTAAATTTCCTCTGAAATCTACTAACTTCTTGAATGAAATTTACAAGCAGGCCGAACGAAGCAAGACTAGGAGAGGCGTGGGGATAGGCCAGTCCATCTCTATAACTTTACTCATCCTATAAACTGCTTTCTCTTGGTGTGGACTCAGGGCTGAAGTAACGGTCGCGGATGCTGTTTGAGGCGGGGAAGCAGCATCTCAAGTTATTACAAATAAATTCAAATGCAAAACGACTGTCCCACTCCCGAGACCTTTAATATCCGCTCCCTTTGCAACTCTCAGCACACACGTTAATAATTTATCCAGGATGCCAAATGCAACTAACCTTTCCCGAAGAAATTAAGGAGTTTCGAGTGTGAAATGCTCATTTTTGGGGAGCAGAAGGACGTGTCTGAAATCAATTGAAACTTAATAAACGTAGTGGGGAGAAAATCACAGAAATAACCCAGTCAACCCTTCTGATAATGAAAACCTGGCGTTAATAATTCAGGAACACAAAATAACCAGTCATTGGATTATACCGCAATATCAGAATTGATGCATTTCAGAGAGAATCTGGACAGACAATTTAATAATATTTCCCCCCCCTTCCAATAAATTACAGCAGCAAAAGTTCCCCCTTAAAGTAGTTATTTGTATTTCTTATTTCAAGGTATTTTTCTTTCAAATGATTATTATTATTTTTGCAGTTCTAACAACTCCAGCGATAAAATTAATTAAAAAGTAATATTTTTTCTCAATAAAAGTAAAGCCAACACAGCGGAAATAGAATTAACTGTCAACATTTGTCCCGAATTTAATAACAACTTGGGTTTTTTCAAAGCAGGAGAACACAGGGAAAGGATCGGTGTGTACGGTTTAGTTTTGCTTTTTTTCTCACGTGTTTCTTCACTGTTTTATTGTTTCTATTTTCTCCTCGTTCCTCTCTTTCCCCCAATTTATTGTTGCTAGCATTATAAAACAATCAGTGTTCAGCAGATATTACAAAGCTTTTAACAGGATAGTAACTACAAAACCCCAACAAATATCACACATCGAACTCCAACAAATTCAGTTACTTCTTAACAGCTCTCAAATTGTGCAGAGTTTTTCTTAGGAAAGCCAGATGAAGATAGACCTCAGCACCGCTTCGTAGCCCAGACTCTAACTTCCTCGCATGGTTTTTTCTAAACACACATAATTCTTTTCACCTTTTGGCTATGCTGAAAAAAGCCCTCGTTAAATAAACCTGAACCTTATCTACTTTTATTTTTGCTTTCAGGGAAAACACACCTTCATCCCAAACTGCTCGCAGAGAAACAACCGCTTTCTAGCTCTCTGGTTAGAGAATTTTTCACATTGGTTAAACATAAATTGCTGTGGAATGACATTAGACATTTCTCAACCTGCTGGTTTTGCATGGCGACAGGTATGGTGTGAATTTACAATGAATAGCACCAACTTTTCTCGGCGTTCAACTTTCCCCCGCTCTGTTTAGTAGCAGTTACTCCATCTTTGCTGAGAGCAGGATCCTTTACAAGAACAAGATGGGGTGATTTTGAGTTTTTTAAAAAATTCCTGCATATGGGTGTGTACGCAGAGAGAGCGCAACCGCTGTATTTAAGGTTTCCTAAAAGGTCTCCTGTGGGAGTCAATGGAGCTATGGGAGTTTACAGAACTGAGGGTCTGGCCCATGACTTCTAAAACAAACTAGACAACATGAGCATTAAGCACACCACGTTTTGAGGCATTAAAATGCAGCTATCTGTTGATTTTTGTCTTGCCGCGTAGAAACAGAAAAAGTACTTGCTAAAAAGAGAGAATTTAATAAAGCTCTGGTGCATTTTCCCTTAAAAGAAACAAACAAATCTTAGGGGAAGAAATATGTTTCTGAAATTAATTTGCTCTTAGTTTTCGAGATTTGAAAAGACACAGCGACTCCTTTTAATAAATAACATGAACATCTAATCAAATACATATAAATACAAGGAGGAAACCATTTCCCCTTGATTTCTCTTTCCTCCTGCTGATAATATCGGGGGGAAAGTGTGTCACTTTTGCGACGGGGGAAAAACACAGAGAGGCTTTCAGGCATACAGACCTTAATGAGGAACCCTACCCATGCAATTTAGGAGTTTACGACTGTGACCATCCCTCCCCTTCTTTAACCTGGAGGAAGCAACCACCGTCAGACTTGGGTTTATATCTGAGTGGGATAGAGGCGCAGGCTGAATGGATAGCGAGATTTGGTCCTGACCAAGTTTCCCATATTTCTTTATGGCAAAATTCACTCTCTTTCCCCTCGTTAATAAATTTGCTGCCTAAAAGAAAAATCCAGCTGTTCCTAATCGCTCTTGGCAGCAGCAGCCCACAGTGTTATTTACTTTAGACACCGAGCAGATTTGGAGTTAAGAAGGGCAACCAGTCCAGGAATGCGTAGAGATGGCTCCAGAAGTTGGGGCTCTGCCTATGGGGCACTGGAGAAAAGTGATGGGGTCGCAGCAGGGTCGCCATCTCTCTGAAACTTCTTCAACCCCCCCCCACCCCCCACTTAAGTTCTTTAATAAGGAACAAACCGATCCGGATTTTGAGAAACCCGGGGAGAAATCAATGGCAAAACTCCCATTGGTCTCTTTGGGACTCCCAGATAATCCAACCATGTTTTTTTATAGATTCTAAAGCTAGAAGGGACCTTCATCGTCTGCTAGTTGGACCTCCTGCAAAACAAAGGGCCAGAGAACTTCACCCAATTATTCCTCTGTCCTGCCCAAGAGCTTCGGGTGGAGCCGGAGAATAGCTTTAAGAAAGTGACATTCACTTGTGATGTAAAGCAGCGGCTCTCAACCTTTCCAGACATCTGTCCCCCTTTCAGGAGTCTGGTTTGTCTTGTGTACCCCCAAGTTTCACCTCGCTTAAAAATGACTTGCTCACAAAACCAGACATAGAAATACCAAAGTGTCCCAGCGCAGGTTACTGAAAAACTACTGACGTTCTCCTTGTTACCATATCATTATAAAATAAATCCATTGGAATATAAATATTGTACTTGCATTTCAGTGTCTAGTATTTAGAGCAGGATAAACAAATCATTGTCTGGGTGAAATTTTAGTTGATTTATTGTATTTAGTCTATTTATGCAGTCTGTGGTAAAACAAGGCAAATATCTGGATAAGTTGATGTACCCCCTGGAAGCCCTCTGCGGACCCCCAGGGGCAGGGCCGGCTCTAGGTTTTTTGCTGCCCCAAGCAAAAAAAATTTTGGCTGCCCCCCGTCCCAGCCCTGGGCTCCTCGCCGCACCCCCCTGCCGCCCCAACCCTGGACTTTCCCCCACCACCCGCACCCCCCTGCTGCCCCAGCCCTGGGCTCACCCCCTCCCCGATCCGCACCCCTCTGCCGCCCCAGCCCTGGGCTCCCCCCCCACACCTCCCTGCCGCCCCAGCTCTGGGCTCCCCCCACCCCCCCCCCCATCGCCCCCCACTCACCCCTCCTGCGGCCCCAGCCCTGGGCTCTCACTCAGGGCCGGCTCTAGGTTTTTTGCCGCCCCAAGCAAAAAATGTTTTGACTGCCCCCCACCCCAGCCCTGGGCTCCCCCCGCAGTGCCCTGCCACCCCAGCCCTGGGCTCCCCCCCGCACCCTCACCTCCTGCCGCCCCAGAGCTGGGATCTCCCCCCCCACCCCCTGCCACCCCAACCCCTGGGCTCTCCCCCCCACCCGCACCCCCTGCCACCCAAACTCTGGGCTCTCCCCCCCACCCCACTCCTGGGCTTCCCCGCACCAGTGCTGACTCCGCCCGCTTCCCCCCTTGCCTCCAGCCAGTCCGGCGCTGGCAGGGTCGGGGTAAGCAGCGGGGCTCCCGGGCCGCGCCTCAGCCCAGGGTCCCTCCAGCCAGGGCTCCCACCTCCAGGACCGGCCGGGACCCGGGATGGCAAAGCCGGGGGACCGCCTGGCAGAGGGCTGAGGAGCTGGGGCAGGGCAGCCCCAGAGAGAGCGGAGCCCCGGAGAGCGGGACACGGGTCCCATACGGCAGCGCCCCGGGCACCAGTCCCCACTATGGCCCCGCTGCTGCTGCTGCTCCTGGCCGCCCTGCCGTAGTCCCTGGGTGGCTTGGGCCGCTTTGCCCAGCCCCGGCTGCGGCGCTGGGGGGCGGCCGCCCTGCGGCACCTGCCATAAGGTGTGGGCACTGCTCCCCGATGAGAACCGCAGCGGCCCCAGGGCGCCACCTGTGCAGGACGCGCTGCTGCTGCCAGGGCCCGCTCTAGGCTTTTGCCGCCACAAGCGCAAAAAAAAAAAAAAAAAAGGCTGGCTGGAACGCCGCCCCTGAAAATGTGCTGCCCCAAGCAGCTGCTTGGTTTGCTGGTGCCTGGAGCCGGCCCTGCCCAGGGGTACACGTGCTCCTGGTTGGGAACCACTGATGTAAAGGATTCAAGTGATAGGGAAGTTGCTCCAATAGTTAATTGTTCTCAGGGCTTGTCTACACATAAACCGCTACCGTGGCTGGTGTAGTGAAGACACTACCTACGCCGACAGGAGGGGCTCTCCCAGCAGTGTAGGTAATCCACCTCCCCGAGAGGTAGTGGCTAGGTCCGCAGAAGAATTCTCCCATTGACCAAGCGGTATCTAGCCTGCGGGTAGGTGGGTTTACCTGCATCTCTCAGTGGTGTGGATTTTGCACCCCTGAGTGACATAGTTATATGCTGACCTAATTTCCTAGCGTAGACCAGGCCTCACTCCACGTTATTTCTAGTCTGAAATTGTCTGGCTGCAGCTTCCAGCCACTGGATTTGTTATGCCTTTGTCTTTTAGATTGAAAGGTGTTAATGTACCAGAAATCTCCTCCTGGGGTAGGGACTTATAGACAGTGATGATGTCACCTCTTAACTTTCTTTTGGATAAACGAAGGACTTGAAACACAGCTGCCGCTGTAGCACTTCAGTGTAGACGCTACCTATGCGGATGGGAGGAGTTCTCCCGTCTGCGTAGGTAATCCACCTCCCTGAGAGACAGTAGTTAGGCTGATGCAAGAGTTCTTCTGTCGGACCCAGCGCTGTCTACACCAGGGGCTAGGCTGGCTTAACTACATCACTCCAGGGTGTGGATTTTTCACGCTCCTGAGGGATGTCACTGGGTCTGCCTAACTTTTTAGGCTACGTTTACACTACGAGGGGGATTGATTTCAGATACGCAAATTCAGCTACGGGAATAGCGTAGCTGAATTCGATGTATCGAATTCAACGTATCTGATCCGACTTACCCCACTGTGAGGACGGCGGCAAATTGACCGCTGCGGCTCCCCCATCAACGGTGCTTACTCCTACCTGGGCTGGTGGAGTACAAGCGTTGATTCGGGGATCGATTATCGCATCCCGACGAGACGCGATAAATCGATCCCCGAGAGATCGATTTCTACCCGCCGAGCCGGGCGGGTAGTGAAGACAAGCCCTTAGTGTAGACCAGGCCTAAGTTGCTCGAGCGTCAAGGTGGCTGAGGGAATTTCTTTTACTGGGCCAACTTCTGCTGGTGAAAGACACAAGCTTTGAAGCTGAGGGCTTGTCTCCACTACCACTTTTGTCGGTGTCATTTATGTGGCTCAGGGGTGTGAAAAAACACGCCCCGAGCGACGTAAGTTACCCTGACCGACGAGCCGGTGTGGACAGCACTATGTCTGCAGGACCACCAACAGGGCCGGCTCCAGGCACCAGCTTAACAAGCAGGTGCTTGGGGCGGCCAAGGGAGAGGGGCGGCACCTGCGGCAATTCGGGGGCGGCAGGTCCCTCACTCCCTCTAGGAGCGAAGGACCTGCCGCTGAACTGCCGTCGCTGATCGCGGCTTCCCCCCCCCCCCCCCATTGCCGCCCCCGATCGCGGCTTTTTTTTTTTTTTGCTTGGGGCGGCAGAAATGCTGGAGCCGGCCCTGCCCACCAACGTAGCTACCGGCGCTCGTTTATTATGTCAACAGGAGAGCTCTCTCCCGTCAGCACAGAGCGGCTACAGGAGCGATCCGACAGGTGTCAGCCGTATCGGTACAGCTGTGTCGCTGTAAGCTTGCTAGTGGCCTTACACAGAGCTCTTCTTCATGTCCGGGAAAGGTACTCAGCTAAATACACGGTGGAACTGCTTGTTTGGCAGAAGTAGTTACCATATATTGTAAGAGACCATTCAAGGGGAAGTGGTTAGTTACCACTTCTTCCGTCACAGGACAACAAAGGGACTGAGTTTCGTTAATCTATCCCTGTAAAGCAGTTTTGCTTTTCTGAACCCTTTCCAATTTGTCAATATTGTTTTCAAAGCGTAGATACCAGAACCGGACACAGTATCCCTGTAATGGTCTCACTAATGACATATATGCTAGTAATATCATCTCCCTACTCCTACTCGCTATTCCCATGTATATATCCAAGGATCACGTTAGCCCCGATGGCCATAGCATCACACTGGGAGCTCATGTTCAGTTAGTTCTTCACAATGACCGCATGTCCTTTTCTGAGTCACTGATTTCCAAAATACAGCCCCCCATTCTATAAGTGTGACCTTGCTCCTAGATGTATGACCTTGCATTTGGTTGTCTTCAAAGGCATACTGTTTGTTTGTACCAATTTATCAGGTAATTCAGATCACTCAGAGCCAACCTGTCCTTTTCATTATTTACCACTTCACCAATGTTTGTGGCATTTACAAACTTTACCAGCAATGATTTCATATTTTCTTGCCAAACATTTGATTAAAACATTGAATAGTGTTGGGCCTGGGACAGATTCTTGTGGGACTCCACTGAAAATGCCTCCATTTGATGTTGATTTCACAATAATTACTACACTGTGAGATCTATCAGTTAACCAGTTTTTTATCCATTTCATATGTTTTTACTGATTTCATATAGTGTTAATTTTTAAACGGGAATGTTGCGTAGTACTAAGTCAAATGCCTTATTTTACATTTGTCCAAGTTATTTTTATCAACCAAACTTGTAATGTCATCAAAAATTAGATCAAATGTCTTTGACAAAGACCTGTTTTCCATAAAATATTGTTAATTGGTATTAATTATGATACTATCCTTTACTGATTGCATCCAGTATCAATAGTTTCTATGATTTTACCCAGGATCTATGTCAGACTAACTGCTCTGTGGTTACCTGGATCATCCTGTTTACCTTTCTAAAATATTGGCACAATGCTAGGTGTTCTCCAGTCCTCTGATCTTCCTCAAGATTTATTAAAAATCAACATCAGTGGTTCAAAGAGTTCCTTGGCCAATTCTTTTAAAACTCTCGTGTGCAAGTTATCCAGACCCACAGATGTAAAAATATTTAACTTTGATAGTTGCTGTTTAACATCCTCTCTAGTTAATGTTGGAATACCAAGCATTTCATTACCACTGTAGAGGTCTGAGTATCATCCAGCTTCTTTTCACATACAGAACAGCAATGTTTATTGAACTCTTTTGCCTTTTCTGCAACATTGACAAATTCAGCATATTGAAATCCATCTAGCAATGGATGAATAGCTATTCCATTGCCAGGACTTGTGGTTGTTATTGTTGTTCTAGATATATTAAACAAATTCCTTCTGATTGCCCTTAATCCTACTGGCATAGATTTTTCCTTGATACTCTTAGCTTCCCTTCTCAATTTTCTGCATTTCCAAATTTCTAATTTATAGTGATTGCTATCAGATTTTTATATATCTATATCTATAGTCTGTCAAGCGATTAAAAAAATTAATCGTGATTAATCACGCAATTAATTGCGCTGTTAAACAACAATAGAATACCATTTATTTTAAATATTTTTTGATGTTTACTACATTTTAAAGTATATTAATTTCAATTATAACACAGAATGCAAACTGTACAGTGCTCACTTTATATTTATTTTTGATTAGAAATATTTGCACTGTAAAAAAACAAAAATGTACCTCATACAAGTACTGTAGTGCAATCTCTTTATCATGAAAGTTAAACTTACAAATGTACAACTATGTACAAAAAAACCTGCATTCAAAACTAAACCAATGTAAAATTTTAGAGAGCTCCAAGTCCACTCAGTCCTACTTCTTGGTCAGCCAATTGCTCAGACAAACAAGGTTGGTTACAATTTGCAGGAGATAATGCTGCCTGCTTCTTGTTTGCAATGTCACCTGAAAGTGAGAACAGGCGTTCACATGGCATTGTTGTAGCCAGCGTTGCAAGATA